CTGAGACGTGACCAAAAACACAAAAAAGAAAATATATACGCAGTTTCCAGTTCTGCAGTCGTTCTGTCCTGGGGGAAGCGTATAAAAACAAATCAGCACCGTTATGGAATGATGCTTCAAGCAAAAACAAAAAGGAAGTATAAGAAACAAGGACCCCATCATTTTTATTTTTATTTTTTGCTCACGTCCAACAAACACCGCACGATTCTCCTCCCCACCACCCACGGCGCCATTCAGCAGGAGACGCATGTTTTAACTACTTTCCGACGAGGGGCCAGGGGTGGTGAGGGGGATAGGGCGGCTGCAAGAGCAATCATCTTGCGTTTCTACGCGCTGCAGACGCCTGCTCTGTGAGAAGCGTCGAGGCATCATTGCCCTGCCGCTGCAGGAAGTGCTCTGTTGCTGCAGCCACTGCTCAAAGCGGCAACGTCGCCACCACCACCGCAGCAATCACGGCAAGGAGCAGACTGGAAAGAACAACAGCAGCCGCACAGCCATCGTGGTCGCCTTTGCCGTAGTCGTCATTTTCGTTGTCGTCATTTTCGTAGTCGTCATGGCCGTGGTCACCTTTGCCGTGGTCGCCTTTCTTTAGGTTGATGAGGCTGCTGCCATCGGCGGCGATGGTGCACACCTCCTCGTACCTCGGGCACTTGATCCTTCTGCCGCCCTTGAAATGATCTGATTTGGGCGTGATAAACTCCCCTTCGGGGCACGGCTCAAAATCACTCCCGCCAAGATATTTCACCTTCACCTTGCCCTCCTCGCACTGCACCATCGCACACACTGCGGGTGCGGTTAATTTCCAATTGGAGGCATCGTCACTCAGGAGCGGGAGTGGTTCTGCATCGAGGCACCACGAGCCCTTTCCATGGAGGGACCCTGGTGGGGTGTCGGGCCCTTCCACTGTGCAAAAAAAATGGTGTTCAGAATTACCAGGCGGGAAAATAGCATTGCACGTCTCCTTTATATCATGGACGGTGTACTCAACATCGAGATTACATGTCCCGATGGCTTGACGGTTGGACGTGCAGCGAATCGACAACGCATCATTTTTATCGCAGAACATGTCGGGGTAAGTGGTGGGAGTCTCCTCCGAGCACGGGTTATCCAGGAACTCGCAGCCGGAGTTGTTGCCCCACACCATCGGCTCCTCCATCCCCCACACGGCCCTGTAGTAGCCGAGGTCCTCAAACGCCGCCATCGTCAGTGCAGTGTAGTAGCCAGCGTACATTGTACCAAACGGACTCATCAACTCGTCCTTCGCATTGCGCAGCGACCACAGGCTTGCGTCAAAATAATAGACCATCTCCATGCCCTTGAGGGTGTCGCAGCCGTAGTGCAGCTTCGCCTTGCTCAGCGTAACAGGTGACTTCACCACCGTCACGGGAGAGCTGCCGCCGCGCACATCAGTCACGTTCAACAGCATGTCGTGCTTCTTCATCTGTTCCATGCTGAAGCCAAGAGCATGGGCAATCGCATGCGCAGTGGTGCGAGCAAAGTGCATGACGCCAAGCGTATAAGAAGGCATAATATGCAGGGCACCGGCAATTGGACGACCGTCCTCTGCGAACGCACACGGGATAGCCCACGTCCCGTAATTCGACCTGGAAGCCACATAGAGCACCATGTCCGTGTCCTTCAATCCCACTGTGTGATGCTCCTCGGGGATCTTGAAGTATTTGCAGCGCCCATGCTCCGTTATGAGCCGGGGCACAACCAACGGAGTCTTCATGCGCTGAACGAGCAAACGCTCCGCGTGCAGTCCGACAGCCACAGGAAGAATCTCATCCACCAGGGTTTTTCTCACATCCGAGGTCAAAACATCATCCTTCGTGCACGGTGAATAGTGTCCCCTGAAGTCCGGTTTCATTTCCCCTTCTTTGGTGCAGTGCTTACGGGGGTCCTTCAAATCCTCCGTGGACACCGCGATGCGGAGGGGCGCCCAGCCACTGTTTTCCTCCCCTGATGTGGCGACGGTGTACGCCTGCGTCGCGCCCTGCCCCTTGCGCGGCAGCTCACGCACCATCGCGGTCGGTGGCCGGCCGCTCCCCCACAACTCCTCGTCGAAGGCACGGCGGTGCGCGGCGGCGAGGCACCCACCGGCGCCGTACATTAACAGCAGTAGGAACACCGCCAGTGAAAGAAACTGCGTGGCGTGAACTCGACGGCGCATGGCGTGAGGGAAGAGTGAGTGTGTGTGTGTGTGTGCGAGTGTTGGATTGTGGCAAATAACTGTATTAGTACCACAGAGCTTGTCCCGCAGCAGAAG